GGTAGTTGGTGAGAAAGAGCGCTCCCTCTGCGGGTATCAGGCACTGGGTATCGTCTTCGCGGCCATCCGGCATGAGGAAGCAACGCAGGTGGTCGGTAACTAAATCCTCTCCAGGCAGCAGGCAAGGCGTCTGGATCTTCGGCTTCTGGACATGCGGATGGCGCTTGGCCTCCAGGTAAACCGGTTCCAGGGATTCGATGTGCATGTGCACCACACCCGGCACCATGTCGTGCAGGTTGCGTATGTGATCGGAGGTCACACCACCTTCGGTGCAAACGCTGTCGATGAAGCGTGAAATGGTTTTCCCAACTGTGACGCCAATTTCCAGAGCATTGTTCTCCTCGAATCCTTCGTCGGAATGTTCGCTCAGGCTGTGCGAGCCCATAATACTGTAAGTGAAAATGATTAAAGATTTTAACAGAGTTCGGAAAATAACACACACTGTAAAAAACTTTTGTTATCAACATGTTAAATGTCAAAGTGTTAAGTTCAAAAAAAGTTATGACTTGTGTGTAAAAAATTGTATCCTACATATGTTAGAAACATAAATAACACACACATGCCATTTGTGTTATTTACAAAACGTGGTATTAACACGACAGGTTTTTTTTACACAGCGTGTTTTTAACACAATGAGTTTTTGACATTAAAAAAATTAAAAAATGCACTGTTTTCCAGAGTAAAGGAATTCATATATGCTTTCAAATGGTTAAAACTAACGTATAAGATATCATGCCTCATATTTGTTTTTCATTTTCCCTTCGACTCGTTAATGTTAGTAAAATTTAATTTTCATTTGTGTTAAAAACACAGTGTGTAAAAAACACGTCGTATTAAAACACATTGAGTACAAAACACAAGTGAGCTGTGTGTGTTAAGAATTATTTTTCACATTTTAACACTTTTGTATTTGACACACCTGTCAAAAATTTGGCTCACACTGTAAAATACAATTTTTCATGTTTTTAACATGTGTGTCAATTTCAGAACCCTGGATTTTACAAAGCATTAAAGAACAGCCTTACCTATTGGAAACGCTCTGATTTTCCTCCAGGCGAAACGCTGGCTTCGGCTTGCTGGCCGCATCCACATTCACGTCGAGCGGAATCAGCAGGGAGACCATACGGTTGGCAAAGTGTATCGCCTGGCTGTACAACGTGGACTCCTCCGACTTGGCCAGCTCAACCTTCTTCTCCTCCTCGATGGTGGGACTCTTGCGCAGCTGCTCGGCCGTAATCTCCAGCGCCGTCGGCTCCTCCAGCGGCACCTCGTCCAGCACACAGTTGGCCTCCTTTTGATGCTCGTTCTGGCGACGGTGAAGCAGATACAGCGCCTTTATCTGGCCCTGCACGTCCTGGAAGAATGTGGACTCCCAAAACTGATGGTTCTTCCATATGGCATGATCCTGTATCTCTGTGTAGGCGAACTGCACCACGCCAGTCGATAGTTTGCGGCAAAAGATGGTGGACATGGGCAGCAGGGCAGCGGCCACTGTATACTCATCTATCCCCGAGGATTTGTGCAGCGCCTTGTTCATGAATCGCACAACCAACTCGAATTGCTGATGATCCAGCACCGCCTTGTTGCCATGCACATAGCCAAAGAACTCGCGGCACAGGATTAGCCGCGCATCTCGATGCATCAGCGTGCGCATCACGGCTGGCAGCAGTTTCCTGGCGTCCGTAATTCGGTTCTCAAAGATATACGATACACAGATGCGCAGGACCTCGAGTCTTCTAGCTGAGTTCTGGACATTGGGACGCACATCCAGGGCCTCGGGCAACCTGGGTCCCATTGGAATGATCCGGTGCTGATTGCGCGTCACATGAAAGCGCTGCGGCACTCCGTTCTTGCGTATTCCCTCCTGGATGATGAGCTCCACCTTCTCGGAGCTTATCCGCGGAAAGGCAGGCTGGTGAATCCGCTGGAAAGCGCCCTCTGGCGGGCGCAGGACTTTCTGGGCATAGGTTATATGAGCCAAAGTGCCCTCGTTCTCGTACAGAACGCGTCCCAATTCCTGGATATGTGTGAGTATCTGAAAGGTAAGAGATAAATTAATATTAAAAAATCTAGAAAGTGCAAATTCCACTTACGAGATTCCGATTCTGCGCCTCCGACTTGAGCAGCTCGTTCATCGAGCTGTACAGCTCATCCCAGGCATCGGAGGCTCGCCAGGGAGGCCCTCGTTCGTTGACGAACGTGGTGAAGAACATGCTGTCCAGCACACGAAACAGAAACTCGCTCTCGATCAAATCCCGGGCGCCCAGGAAGCCAGCCTTGTGAAAGGTGATCACGGGCTTTGGATGGATCCGAATTATCGTTAAGCAAGAGCGATATCCCTGCAGCAACTGGGCGAAGAGACGCATGAATATGGCGCGCAGCTCCTTGTCGATCTGGGCATCAGTCTTGGCCATGGCCGATGGCCGCTCCAGCGTGGGAAACGCGAGATCCGCTTGCGCCAGATTCGGGAACAGGATCATGCCGAGCAGATCCTGTGTCTGCTCCCACAGCGGCGAGGGGAGAATAGGAACAGGCGGAGTGAGCGACTCGGGTATGGTGACCAGACCGCCATCCAAATCCACCACAATCACATCCAGCAGATCGGTAATCTCGGTTTGCAGCGAACTATGTATGCCCATGATAAACGGTGTGGGTGTGGACAGCACTTCGGTGAGTGGAGCCGGCAGAATGGGTATATAAACATGTGTATACCGGAAGGGATACATGAGGGCAACCAAAGCGCGGCAGCTGTCCGTCAAGTGCCAATAGCACTTGGACAGGAAGAGTATCTTGTTCTCCGTCATCACGGCGCAGAGCAGAATCAGCACATTCTTGATTCCGAGTTGTTTGAATAGGAAGTGCACCCCACTCCCAGTTGTGGGCAGGGAGGAGCTCTGTGGCGGCTGCAGCGACTGCTTGTCTCCGGCTCCTATGGAGAAGCGCACCTGTGGCCCACCCGCCGGCGGAACCTGAATGCAGCCCAGAATGTTGCCGATAAGCGTCTCCAGACCATAGGCCAGATTCTCGATATAAACCGTGTAGATGGTGCCCAGGCAGTTCTGCAAGTGAAAAAGTGGTTATTCGAGATTCTCAGCAGGGTTCGGAATTTAACACACATGTTAAAAACATGTAAAATTGTATTTTACAGTGTGAGCAAAGTTTTTGACATGTGTGTCAAAAACAAAAGTGTTAAAATGTGAAAAATAATTGTTGACACACACAGCTCACTTGTGTTTTTTACACAATTTGTTATTAACACGACGTGTTTTTTACACACTGCATTTTTAACACAAATGAAAATTACATTTTATGGACATTAACGAATCGAAGGGAAAATGATCCGTTTCAAAGAATACATGAATTTTTTCAACTACAGAAAACCGTGAATTTTTCAGTTCAACATATATTTTTGACGTTTTAATGTCAAAAACTCATTGTGTTAAAAACACGTTGTGTAAAAAACACGTTGTGTAACACGACGTGTAAATAACACAAATAAACTGTGTGTGTTATATATGTTTCTAACATAAGTAGGCTAAAATTTTTTGCACACATGTCAATAACTTTTTTTTAACTTAAGACTTTGACATTTAACATGTTAATAACACAAGTTTTTTACAGAGTGTGTTATTTTCCGAAACCTGATTCTTAGCTCCTGGTTATAAACCCACCTTGAAGGTATCGGCACAGTCCAAGCGGGAAATGAGCACCAGACACTTGGGTGCATACATGACGCTGTGGTGGGTGATGGAAGCCGGCGTGGCTGTCGTAGAAGCAATGCCATCCGTGGAGGAGGGTGTGCCCCCCAGCAGCCTGCTGTTCCCGATCGTCTCATCCTCGTCGTCCACGCTGCGCGTCTGGGTGATGGCCACCGTCTCGTGGAAGCTGAGGCAGGCGCAGTAGTGCTTATTGGCATCGATGTCCGTCAGCACGGAGACGAAGAACTTGGGCTCCTGCTTCTCGTACGATAAGCTCCATCCAAGTGGCTGGCAGAACTGTTTGAAAAGATTACAGGGGGTAAAGTCAGAGATATGCAATGGAATGTGGAATGTTTTAAGGAACGCACCCATTCAATGCCCTCGATAAACGGAGTGTCCGGCCAATCTTTCTCGGGAAAACGCTGGACGATCTTGCCGCAAGTCGGCTGGCCACCCACATTAGTGGCATTTTCTGGGGTAAAAAAATCAGGAGAGGAAGTTAGTTAATTACCGGGCATATCTAGATATTCCACTCACTCTCCTTATCGCTGTCGTAGCCGACTATTACGAAGTAATCAGCGAGCCGGGACATCTTGCCCAGCGAACATTGCCGGCCAGTCGTCTGGTTTTTCAGGAAAACTGCGAAATAAACAGAGTGCCAAATGTTTTATTTTGGTTATCGTATTCTCTTTTAGCAGATGGCGACTATCCAAAGTGCCGTCATCCAATTTGATATGCTAATTAGGCTCCGTCTCTCCGCGCTCCGCATAAATGATTAGCTGGGCATCCGAATTGTTATTGTATTGTCTTTTCTATAGCTCGCCGGAGGCGTTTTTCAGGCTTTACGAGTCTTTGGTCTTCAGTCTTTTTTCTTGCTTCTTTTTTTTTTGGTTTTAACCACACCCCGCCACGCAAAGTGGAAAAGTTTGCCGGGATCTGGGATGGCCAGTCTATATATATATATCCCCGCACACACCTCGCAGCCGCCGGCAGCCGAAAATCCCCGCTCACTGCCTGCAAATCTCAAGGAATTCGGGGCGATAATTATTATTTTTAAGTTTGCATAGAAAAAGATAGATGCAATACACAATAAATTCCGCGAGTTTCACAACACTGTTTGCATCAGCTGATGGCGAATATCGATAGATTACTGGCGATTTCGGGAATATCGATAAGTTTTGTCGCCTATCATTGCTTATCGGCGGAAACTTAGAAGTTTTTTTGAATTCTTTAAATGCTAAATTACTTGCCAAATTTCGTTTACAAAATATTCCCATGTATTCCCAATAAACAGAGCCTTCGTTCGGTGACTTGATTTTCTTTTTTCTCATCTTAAATATAAATCACGATATCTTTGACATTATGAACTAACGAGATATAAATACATAATAACATTGATGACTAACTCGTGTAAGACGTAACTTATGATAGGTGTGTTTTTAGCTGATCTTTACAAACATATTACGTATACGTAGCGTATGTACTATTCTGATTAGCCGATCATCTTGTTTCAAGCATGATTGCCGTTCTCTGTGGTTTTTGTGTCAGCCGGTGGGTTTTGATTGCCATCCTGCGACGGCATGGTGAGCGAAACTGTGCCCTTATCCGTGTGCTTTATGTGCTCCATTTCGATATCCGAGCAGTTCTCGAGTGCTGAGTCCATTGAGGTGACGGTCATGTCCACGGCCTTATCGCTAGTGTTTGTCGACAGCAGGGGTTTCTCCACAGCCGGCTTGTCATCGGCATCCTCATCTCGAGTGGGCGGCACAAAGCTATTGCTATTGATGTCCTCGATGGCCTTGCGCAACTGTTGAATAAATCATGGGTTATAAGCTATAATCTTAAATCTTTAATTCAAGTAAACTTACTTCTTTCAGTCCCACCACGCCCACCAGCCTTCCGATCTTGGTCACATAGGCGTGGTTAATGCCCACCATCGAGAACAGCGAGTGAACCTTGAGTATGGAGGTGCGTTCCACCAGCTGGAAGGGCGAGGGATCTATGTGCACATTGGCCTTTTGCAGATCGATGGGCTTCAGCATCTCCTCGAGCTCCCATTGCTTTTGATCCTCTGGCGACATGTCGATGACACGTTCCCTGGGCTATAAATAAATCATAATAATATAATTATTAACCGGATTAAAAATTATCTATATTTAATATTAAATAAAATATTTTTTACACATACCAACTGCACAGACTTTGGCTTTTGAACGGTCTTGTTTGATTAAATGAAGATAGTAAATATAGGAAAGAAACCGTTTTTATTAGATTAATGAGTAAATGGTAATTAATGAATTAGTAAAATGATATTTCCTATAATTTTACCTACCTCCACATCTGGTTCATCCACATCCTCTATAGAGTATCCCATTTCATTTGGTTCTTTTATCTCATATTTCGTTCTAGTTGGCGAACCATTTACCCCAACCTCATTGGCAAACCTTATTTTCGTGCACTTTTTTGTTGTTTTCGGGGATCTATTTATGTCTGCAACCTTATTTGTTTTGAATTTAATGCTCGGCGATTGGCTTGAATTATCCCCACTAGTTGATAATGCTATTTCCGTGCTATCCTTTTCGGCAGGCTTTATTGATAATATTTAAATGTTCCGGTTAAAAAGTAAGACTTTGTTTGATTTTCATTTTAAATGGCTTACTTTTTTAGCAGTACTCTAGTTCTAGCTTCTCTTGATCCTATTTGTATAGCGATATTTAAGATATACTACCGAAATGTCAGTTTTTAAGTCTTACCAATGTTTTTGCTTCCGTTGAAATAGGGTTTACTTGCTTGCAGATATTAAAGTGGGTTAAACACACAACTCACAAGAGAATGATTATAATGATTTAATGATGAAAGGGTGATTTACTTACCAGCATAATTTGATCGGTTACAAAATCCCAATTAGTTTGTGCAGACTTGAAAGTAGACATTCCATCTCCCGGTTAACTTAAGTAACGGTTACCCCAAGAGCCAATTCTAACCTTAAAAATAATATTAATCCACTTACCAGCTGAACCTTTTTGGAAACACCCGGAGTGCTGGGAGTTCGGGGAACCTCCACCTCGTTGTGGCTGGCGGCGGGGGAGAGGGAACCCGTCTCCGGATCCGGCTGGACATCCTGGAGCGTGGTGGATTTCTTGAAGATGGCCTCGAAGGCCGAGCGAATGCGAAACTCGGAGTTCCCGGTGATGGTGGTATATGGCGTAATGCTGGGACTATGGGCCATGGGCTGGGCATAGGTCTTGAGGTTAAAGGAGTTGGTTTTCTTCAGGATCGATTTCCTGGGAGCCAGCGATCCGTGCATCGTTTCCGCCCTCTTCTTGGGCGGCAGCATCTCATCGTTGGCTATCTGCCGCAGACTCAGGATATCGGGAGCGGGAAGCACCTCGAATCGCGATGGTCGCCGCATCTTTAGCTCCACCTCCTGCTTCTTCTTCTCCTCCTCCAGGGCCCGCTCCTGGGCCTCCTTTTGCCACTTTTGGGCCACCTCCATTCGCTTCTCGCGTCCAATGTGCTTCTCGATCATTTTGATCAACTCATATCGCTGCACTGAACCCAGAAGGATCATATTATCCGGACTGTCCACCAGCGGCAACGATCGCAGCGTCTTGTTCAGCTTGAGCACCTCTTTGAGCTTCTGATAGGAGATGCCATGCCATATGTACTTCACATCCCGCACCATAAAGTCCTCCACGAATATGCTATACATCCCCGAACTGGAGGGCAGCAGATCGGGCAGGTACGGCAGCTTCTTAATCAAAATAATACTGTCGTATATCGACGGTTGGAGTAGCGCCGCCACGGCATTGGCCACCAGAACGGCAATCATGACCGGAACCACATGGGTAATTTGGCCAGTCATCTCGAAAATAATTACAGCAACCGAAACCGTGTGAGTTACGGATCCCGAGAAGGCAGCTGCTCCGACGACGGCATAGCCACCGGGCATAATGGGTGACAATCTGCCGCCATAACGAACGCCATGGGGAAATGTCACGGCCATAAACTCACCCACCAGACGACCAAATCCGGCGCCGATCTTGAAAACCGGAATAAACATGCCCGAGGGAACTGGTATCGTGGAGGCGATAATGGAGAACATAAACTGTAATGCAGAAGATATATTACTTTGGTCAGTAACTGTTATTATTAAGAGATTTCCACACTCACCGTAAACAAGGTGTAGATTACGAGATTTCCAAACACACTCGTATAGCTGGTCATCCAGTGGGTCACCACAGCCGCCTGCTCCACGGTTAGATCATCGCGTGACCAGGTGAAATTGCTGAAGAGCTGCGTCACCTGCTCGTGGGTGCTCAGTTCGCCGGCCAGGAATTGGCCAGTGCCCAGGGGAAACGATATGCTGGAGACCAACAGGGCCAGAAATCCCGGGTACAAAAAGCGACTAAAAAATAGGAAATTAATAGAATTAATAAAATATTTGATAATATAATATGTTCTTAAGAACTTACTTCTTTTGTAGGAACTTGTTCATTCTTTTGTTAGATCTCATAAACAGGACATATCGCCGATGGACCCAAACGTAAGAGGCGCCTCCCAATCCGCAGACGAGACTGAAAAGAAAGAAATAATTTTTATTAAATAAATTTAAAAAAATATAAATAAACAAAATAAAAAAAATAAATTTAAAAAAAAACATATAAAAAAATAATAAAAACATTATAAAATAAAATTAATAAAAAAATATACAAAAATAAATAAAAATAAATAAATAAAAAAAATAAATAAATAAAAAAATAAATAAATAAAATATGAAATATATACAATAAATAAATTAAAATTAAATAAAAAAATACAAGAAAGAAAAAAAAATTTAAAAAAAAAATATAAAAAATAAAAAAATAAATAAATTACCCAATCAAGGCGAAGACAAACAGCTCCTGGGGATCGAAGGGAAACTCGGTGGTGAAGTTCGTGAGGAACAAAGCTCGAACGGTGTCGGCGTTTTGGAACCAAACGGCCAGCAGTCGGAAGACAGTGGCGCCACAAACGGCGGCGAAGAAGCCGCGCCAGTAGTTGCGCACCGCAAAGTAGGTGGTGGTGACCTCAATGCTGAAGAGCACACCTGAGGAAGAGCAAGGTTAAAGGTCAGGATCCCAAAGAACAATAGAAGATACTTACCCCCCACGGGAGCTGCAAAACAGGCGCCCACACCAACGGCACAGGCAGCGGCCAACATTTCCGAGTTTCGCGACTCATTCTCATATATGCCTTGGAATGATGTGACAAGTTTACTTAATAATTGTGCTACAATACTTGCTATATGTACGAAAGGACCCTAGGGAAATACACGGAGATACCAGTTACAGATACAAATGCGGATTCTTTTTTTTTTGTATTGATTTTCCAAATTGCACTTGATTTTTGGCCGCCTCGACGGCGGTGTGCATGCAGTGTGAGATCAATTCTTATACTTACTTCCTTTCCTAATGGCATACCGCTGCCCAGAGTTGCCGTTAAACCAATTACCTTGGCCACTAGTGTCTTAAATGTGAGATACTCTTTCAATTGAACGCCGCGCAGTATGGTCTTCATTTCGGGTATACCGGAACCTAGACACAGTTTTAGTTATGTTTATAGATTTGCATTGATCATACTCGCAGTTATTTAGAGGTTACATCTATTGTTAGTGGTTAGTGTGCAGAGATAGCAGAATTGCTGGGAGTGTTTAGTGGTTTCGAGTATATAACATGTAGACACAATGGGTTCACAGATTGGAGGTGCCAAGAGTGCTTGGAGTGGGCAGCTGCCGAGAGTGCAGTGGTACTATGAGTACTTTAGAATATTAAATATTAAATACAAGAGAGAGAGAGAGAGTTCTGCTTAAAACCCTAAAAGTTCTTTGAGAGGTTGCAGTTGGGAAGAAGTCATAATTCCCTGGCCCTAAACAACCATAGAAGTAAAGTAAGTAAGCACAAAATTCATACAATTTCTACAATTTTGGAAAACCGATGAAAGAGTGTGTCAATTAATTTACTCAAGCAGATTACTTTTAATAAAACTCCACTACACTTGGTTAGACTAAGGAAAAGACAGTTATTAACAGGAAGTTATAGATGATAATGGTATGATTTAGATGTATGATATCCCAGACGCTTACCTATACTTTGCGGTGCGATGAGATGGACAAAGCCGGCTGAGAATAATATCAAACAGACCGGCAGTGAGACCCATGCTATGTATTGAACAAAAGGCTGTGACGTCAGATCGCGATATAGCCAAATTCGCGCTAGAGAAATATATAGATTTAGGTATAGAACAATGGGTACTAAAAACGGTCTAGAGAATCGATCTATTACCGTTTGTACATATGGATATGCCCTTGTCCATGATGAATGAGAGCAGCGCCATTATGATGCCCAGTAGCGCCAGGAAGACCCAATCCTCGCCCAGCCGGGCCACCGTATGCCTCCAGATCCATGATGACACCTTCTTCGCCCTCGTCGAGTGTTTGCCTAACAGTTCCTGAAAATATTTCCCAGCACTGCTGCTTTATAAACTGATACGTTCAAAGAGATCTTAAAAATACGTTCCACACTTGGGGCTACAACTCAACATTTTTTTGGTAAATTCCTTTGCATACCTTAAATATTTAGTTTTCTCATTTAGTTTGCATTTTGAATAAATCACAAGACCATTATTAACATTGTATTTTACGGTAATGAGTGAGTAAGTATGCGATGCTTTAAAGATTCTATTAAATTTTACCTTATTCCTTTGTTTATCTTCCTGCTTTCGTCGCTTTTCGAGTATTTTGAGCTTTCTGGCTTCATCCTTGGCAAATTCTCCTAGATCTTTGGTATAACGACCATACATCTGTGAAGAGAAATGGCAAATTAATCAAGTCCGAAGCTTTAATAAAAAAATCATTAAAATCATAATAATGTGTGTTTGTTTTCTAATTATAATTATGGTATACAAGTGCATGTTTTCAAAACCAAACAAAGAAGCTTTTCGGGGCTACCTGTGTTGAAAACAAACAATTACATTTGCCTTGAGCATTCTAGACAAATGGCAAGAGAAAAAGAACTGATGACAGAGTAGGAAGTGCACAGACAGTTGCACTTGGCAAAAAAACCTACCTACAAGATACATGAATGAAAAAGTATAATATTTGATGTCTTTTTAATATATTAAAAAATGTATTCCAGATTTTAATCATACTTGATTTAGACATTTTTTTCAGAAAAGTAAAAGTTTCCAAAGTAATCAAGAATTTACCGGTGAAAGAATGCTACCTTTCGACTAAAGAATTTGAAAAGTCCAACAGCTGCAAACATTCGTGTACAAATTTTTGTATTGTTTCGACGCTTTTACATACGTCATTATTTGGGTCACGAAAATGTTTGAGAAAGTGAAAATCAAGATTAATTTCGGCATAAGTGAAATTTTATAAATTCCGATGCAGAAACTTATTTATTTGTGAATTGAAGGGCAGACCTCAGGGTGATTTTCTTTCTGTGTTTGCTTTGAGGGTCAATGCAAGAGGTTGTTCGCTGCAGACAAGGAAAATAAAATAAATAGAATGTATGAATAAGTGTGGGCACTAAACGCCCCGTAAAAATTATATACGAACAATGGGTTTTCCTAGACAACTGGGCTCTAATAAAATCTTAATTTATCTTTATTTATTTCATCATATTTAAACTTTGATTCACAAAAAAAATGTTTTTAGGATGTTAACTTTTTGTTAGAAATTTCATTTAAATATTTTTCATTTTTATTTAATAAAATTTTCAAAATTCTGTCTAAGTTATTCTGATATCCTCTTTCAATTTTTAAATGGGGAATGGAGGCGCGAATTTTTTAAGATGGGCCAACTTAATATCCTTTTTAAATTTTAAATGGTAATGGAGCCGCGAATTTGGTGCTTTGGGGTCCTTCTTTCTATGACCATGGCTCGCGGGCCACTCACATAGTAGAAAGCCTCGATTTCGATCTCGATCTGGTTCTTGTCATCGCCGGGCGGATCGATCTCGATGCTCTGCTTGCGGTGCTGCTCCTTCTGCTTGGCAATGACCTCATCCCAGCGCTGGCGGACGGGCGTGGAGGCTGTGGATGCGGATGAGGAGGTGGACTTGTGGGAGCGCTCCTCCTTGCGCTGATAGTCCTCGCGATTGATCAGCAGCTCCGGCTCGAAGGCGTATTCGCGAATGTACTCATCCTGGTGCGAGTGGCTGTTGTTAAACATGAAGCAAGCGATGCACACGAACAAGGTCCCGGTACTCAAAATCACGATCAATACACGATCGTAATCAAATTCAAATCAGTATTCACAGTCACAGTCAGAATCAGAATCAAAATCAGAATCACACGGATCTGGGTGGCGGCCTTTGACATGCCAGCGGCTGTTGGTTAAATATTTGTGTCGCATCTTGTTTTGCCAATTATTTTTAGTTTTTCTCGGTTATCTCTCGCGGTTGCAGTACAAGAGTTTTGTCGAATCGAATCGAAACGAATAAAATCTCACTGCCAGACGTAATTAGAGGTGGACGCCACTGCCCTTGAGCCTCGTCGTCTCGGAAACACGGCGATTGTAAAATGCATTGCCATTTATTTTTAACCTTTTACACTGGGTCGGTTTACGGCTATGCCGTTCATATAAATTTGATTTATCGCTACCGAAAACCCATCACTTTCCTATATATATTTTCCTATAATTATTTGCACTTTTTAATGATTTCCATTATCTATTGATTTTTGATCTCGATTCTCGGTCGGCCGACTACCGTCGAGCGTTCTTGTATTGGCCTAAACTTTTTTGAAACTAAACTGACTTGTCGAGCTTTCGGCGCTCTGTGTGGAAAATTATTGAAATTTCTTTTGGCTAGACGCTGCGCGAGGGTAGCACGCTGTGCCGATATTAAAAAACGGCCAATAGGAAAATGAAAAAATGGCCAAGAGATATTGTATAAGAGTGTGTAAACAAAATATGAATCTTTAAATTTGTTTTCCAGTTCTGCTCGTTTCGGCAATCAAAGCAAATTCCTTTGGTATTTCGAAATGGTTCATAAACTTAATTGCACGATAATGGATTATCAATTTAAGATGTTTTCTTGAAACAATCTATTATACATGTGTGTGATTTAAGTGCTTGGGAGTTTTCAATATAGTATAGTATACTATACTTAGATAATTCTTACCCACAAGTTCCTATAATACGGTCACTCTTTTTCACCACCCTACTACCTTTAGCAATGGAATATTTGTTGCCTTCTTTTAAATATAATAAACACTTTTCGTTATAATCCGATTAAAAATAGCTAATGTCTTTGCTTGTTTTGTCATTCGTACACTGTTTTTGCATTGCTTTTACAAAGGCCCAGATGCGAATAGAAGTGGAAAAATCGCCAGAGGCAACTGGCAACTAGGAAAAGCGGCGAGCAAAAGCTTGGAAAACCATTCAGAAATCATAAAAAGTTTTTTGTTTTGATCGATGTTTTCACGGCAGATGTGCGAAACGGTTGTGACGGAAAACGAGCAAATAAAACAGTGCAGACACTCGAACATTTCAACAATGTTAAATTTTAAAATAATAAACAATCGTAAAATAGTAAAAGCCCACAGTGCGTATGATTGATTTTTTATATGGTCGCAGTGATTTTTCAAATGGGCTCCTTTTCCATTTGACAGCTTGTAAAAATAAAACACATATGTAATTCAAATATTTTACGGCTGCCTCTACGTGAGAAATGATAAAAATTTGAACGCTCTTTGCGTCATCAAAAAGGGGTAATAATAATAAGAAAGTCGGATAATCAGACTTATTGGCAGTATAATCACGACAATTCGCAGACGTTTGTATATTTGTACACATCGATACAGACGCGGTTGGAAATGTACTTTAAAAGTTGGATAATGTACAATTTAATGTCGTAATAAAATGAAATTGAATAAAATTGGAAATTTAAGGGTTTTAATGGATATAAAACTTGATATTATATTATGATACAAGTTAAAAAACTACTCGATATGGTTGAAAGATTAATTTGTTAAAATAATTTTTAAAATTCTATTATTTATTTCTAACAAAATGCCTATTTTTTTAACCGTAGTTGTATTTTGCGTATAGAAAACGTATGCAAGTACTTAGGACAGATATACAGATAAGAATTGTTTGCCTTGAGTTACCAAACAAAATATTGGATTTCCTAATAGCCTTTAAATTCAGATCCCCTGAAATACCTGATCTATATGCTTACAAGAGTATCGATGTATCCGATGGGATCATCCTCGTCCGAGGAGTCCGAATCCCGGGCATTTTCAGCTGGCGGCGGACACGGATAAAAAGCGTGCGACTTGATCTTCGGCTGCCGCTGCACGTGACGCAGCTCCTCCTCCATGGACATGGCACTGTTCCGCCGCTTGCGCAACTGGCAAATGAACTTCTCGAAGTCCGCCCACTCCGAGTCCACCAGCTCGACGTTCTCCTCGCCAAACTCTTCATCGTGAATGATTCGCTCGACTTTCTGATTACTCCGATCGCGATTACGATCGCGTTGCCGATCGCCGAAATAAACCATACTGCTGTTGTCAGTTCGAATGGGTTTTTAATGGGTTTATATGGTCGCAAGCGTAAGCAGTTGTTCAACGCGATCGATGGCGCACTATCAAAGATGGGACCGATACGGTTTCGTCACATCCATGGCACAGATAACGCTCATTTCCCGTATTTGAACTCGAATATGTTTAAATATATATATCTGTATAAGATATAATTCCAGCTGCGTGTGAGCCGAGCAGTGTCTTAAATCCAACTGAATAGTGCCATGAGGATAGACCGCTTCGGTCCCGCTTAAACTCAAGATTCCATTAAATTTAGTACACAGACACCGACGCACTCGTCTGGTCATCCAGCAGTCTCAAGTTTGTGGACGCCCGACGCCAGAATATACAGTTCTCATGCACGAGTATCTCATGCACAACCAGTCACTCTCGAGCGGTCAAAGTTTGCGTGTAAACATCAATAGAATTTCATAAATTTAATAATCTGTGGTCTGGTCAACGGCAAAAAAGTGAAAATGCCAAGCGCTTGGATGACACGAAGTGCGGTGCACAGTGGGTTGGCTCTGATTTTCCGGGATTTATAAATGATTCTCCTTGAAGGTATATTTCTTAATTGATTTTCATCATTAATTTTTAAGGGAGTACCTTCATAATATCATTTCTAGATAATGTAAGCTTATAATATTCTTTAGCAATTTTCAGTACTTCCCAACCCACTGTGTCGGATCACTTAAGCCGCATAAATTGCGATTACTTGCTTTAATAGTCTCAATGTGTAGACTAGGCATTGGGTCACATGTCTTCGAGCATCTGTTGGATTTATCACATTTAAGTGTACCGGTTCTTTTAGTTCGTCTGCACTATTTTTGATTTCATTATTGTCTTAGTCTCAGTCAATCTACAATTCTACCCCTAATTTGCGATAATGGTAACCCTAAATAGGTATAGATTGTTAGTCGGGGTGTAAACAGAGCACTCAGAGCCCATAATCTTGAACTTTCATAACTTTCATGAAAATTGATATAGGAATAAACATTTAAGAGAGGCCAATTTAAAAAGAGAGTGAAAGCTTTATCACGTTCTGTCGCCCGCTGTTAGATATCGCCGCACTGCTTGACCCATTAAGCAGTGTAGGACAAAAATCGAGCATTATGTTTCTGTTAAGTTAAATAAGTTAAGGTTAAGAAGTCCTTTAAGTCCTTCAGGTGATTGAAAGTAAGGCTACTATATTTTCAAGAACTAGTCTCATACAAAAAATGATTTAATTAGTTCAAGAAATTAAGAGTTATTTTAAGAATGTTTTATAAAACCGTGAAATATATATTTGTATTTGTTAGCGTACCAAAAGCTTTAAGATTCAACCTTAACATGTTCACTATACCAATGGAATCCCGATGTATTATACCCTAATTTTAATGTATTAAAACCTCAAACTGATCTTTAGATAAGTGGTTGTATTATATTGCCATAATGCCTTTATTCATTTGGTGAATTTCGCCATAAATATAATCACAAATTTCAGTAGGAATGTTGAACAATAAAAATTCCAAGAAATGTGAACTTTGTGTCATACTCCAAAGAATTATCTTTTTTACTATAATTATTCCTAAATTTAAGTTCTTTCCTGGCACACGGAGTTACAGAGATTTGTGGATGATATGATAATTTACTTACTTTTTTGTGAAGCGACATTTTCGAACTCATATGATAGAAATTAGCAAGCTTGCGATAAAACAAAGTGATCTTGGCTAAAACTGTGTGGCGACTGGAGAGCCAGCATCTCAAACGGTGCTAGAAACACCTTCCGAGCCGCAAAAACCGCGATAAGGGTCCAAATAACAACAAAAACACCACCAGAAGCACGGTGAAAAATTTTAAGGATGGGGTACAAAAGCCACCGAACTTAATTAAAAATTGAATGAAATCTTTGAATAAATATCGTGCTTGGCGTCTACATAGGTATATATTCTCGTATCCATGGGGAAAAGATAAACACGAAGCGCGTGAACGCAAATACCATGCTATAAAGAAATATAATTTTAGCAAATTACTTTATTACCCGGGAAAGAAAACATATCTCTATGGCCTATTAAAAATAAAATATTATAAAGCCAAAATCAACAAACAAAGGCCAATTTAAGAGGGACTTATTTCTTTGGCAATCCTGAAACGGTTAACTAAATAAAGGTGATTGCTGATAACGTTTCGATTTTGATGGATGGTCCAATATAGCGCCGATAAGAACCCGTCAAATCCAAGTGGATAATACTTCCTTTTGGGCAATCAGGCAATCAATCGATCAGCAATTCATAACCTAAAGTTACCCCTTAGACAAATACTATACATTTCTTTCCATCTCTGATCTCTAATTACACGTTTGAGTACTTTTAAATTACCCCTGTCAAAAGATAAGATCACCTATTTAAACGGTATTCAGGATTTTAGTTAAGTTAAACATATGGGGGTACATTGTTAAATCCGTTGTCTACATTCATTGTTGCAATTATCTCAAGGTGCTAATTACAGTGTCTCAGCAAGTTTGAAATGAAATTGGTTTGCGTTGGATTTTTCTGGAGTATGGAAAAACCTCATCAATAAACATTTAGACAGAGACTACATTTAAATAATTGAGATTACATCTTTTGTCTGACTCGTGGGAGCTTTGAATCTTCCCAACATTACACAAAATGCTCACACATTATCCTCAAGCTCAATATAATCTCATTCATATGTTGAGCAACATGTGTCAGAGCACATGACAAAAATTAAAAAAAATATATAAGCAAATAAAATAAAAACAAGCAAATAGTCACATGTTAATCACATGAGCGGAAAAAGTAAAACAAGAAACATGTGTGTAAAGGCGTATCGAACTTAATTATACCCTCACGAAAAATCTCATTGTCAAAGAATTTTATATTTTATAGAAGATTTTTTAGAAAGAGATTGTTTTCTATAATAAACACTCTGTATTATACTATTACAATATAAGTAATCTACCCTATATAAATCAAGTATAAGAGTATTAAGAGATCAGTGGGTGATCTAAGAATTTAAGTTAATCAACTTGGCTGCTGGCGGGGAACTAATACAATTATAATCGAGTAATCCCCCTTGTCTATAACACCAACTGTGACAAGGTTGGAATTGCCAAATCTAAGCGCCATACCGACGTGTTTATGTAAATAAAAATACAGTAGACGGCAATTTATTATCAACTCGGGATTTCCAGCCAACCAATTACGATAAAAAAAATTAATAACAAACAAGTTGGATCGTTGTAGGCGTTCTAATGCAAACAATTGTGGGCTTTAAATAGATAAATGTATTTTCCTATTAGCACGGGTATTTACGGCTCTGTTAATAATCGAATATTTATTTTTCTCTTTTTGGTAGAACATTTGTTTGGGTGTTACCCCACTTAATAGATTAGCTTTCGGGCGCTACTTTCGGAAATTGCCACGATAATATACACCGAACTTTATGCTCATGAATCCGATTGACATTGTAAAACAATCAATCAATTCTCGATCAATAAAATTGTCGTGATAACTGGTAAATTTTCACGCCACCCCCAATAAACTTCGAGTATATGGACTTAATTTATAACTCGCGAAGGCAAGTGGTATGAATCACAGTAAATTTGAATAGGTGGTGGAAATAATTGTATTTATATTTTTAAATATGGGTATTACTAGACCATTTTTTTTGTTAATTATTCTTACATTTTTTAAAGTATCTACAAATATATTTCTTTCTTTCCACAGAATGATCAAAATTTAATACCTTTGGGTTCTACAATTGAAAAGGGAAAATTGCGGAAATATGTTTATGATTGAAATTGCCTTTGATCATCCAGAAATTAAACAGTATTGACAACCTAATGCGTCTAACCGCAAACAAACATGTCAATAGAAAAGTGAATTTAAAACCTCGATACGATATGGAATGACGTATGCTTATACTGAGATTGAATGAAAATGATAGCCACCTTAAGTGAAATTTACCAGTTATATAATCTTGAATGACAATATAATGAATGTAATAATAATGACAATTGAGATTCTCTTTAATGGCTTTTAATATCCATTGTACATTACGCTTTATTTATAAAATTGATCTTGAACTTAACATCGGAATGGGATTTTTATGAATAACATTGAAGAGATGTAGGTTAACTTATTTTATTCAAACCAATTGATTTATATTTTAAAATATTTAGGAAAATTTAAAATGACTAAGATGCTTTTTTGAAAATAATAATAATAATTTTATTTTTAATTTTAATTCAGTTTTTAATAGAAGTTAGCCACCAAAAAATATCCACTAAAATAATACATTTTGCACCTTTTTTTTCATGACCCACCTCCCCTTAATTTCACTCACCAGTGTGTGGTGGTAGCCCAGACCGCCCTCCTCCTCGTCTCCATCCGGCAGAGGACTCCTGTCATGATGGTGGTGGCCCAGCGAGGAGGCATTGGAGTAGGTGCGCAGGGGCATCAGCCGGGCTGAGGGGCTCTGGGGCGACGGAGCGATGAGCAGCTGGCCTCCGTTTCTGGTCGCCTTCATCTTGGGACGGTAGTGATGTGCGACTCGGAAGTGAAATTTCTCGGCGATGGCAGACAATGCAAATGCAGACTGCTCAGGAATGGCATTCGTCACTTGTGCATACGGGGACTTATGAAAGCAAATTCCTTGGGCTCATTTGTGCATTAAATTCAATTAGCTCCGCACCACGACGAAGTCACAAGACCGACTTCCTTTCAGTGGAGGAGTGGAGTTGATCCGCCGATGTGGCTGCGTCCAAAGATTATTTATGAATATTCTGCTGTTTTTCTACCAGCTGCCGGCGGACTGCGAAACTGCCTGGGAAACTGCTACTGCTACTGCTACTGCTACTTCTGCTACTGATACTGAATCCGATTTCGATTCGCGGCGTTATCTGTGAGATCACTGTTTTACTTTGGTGTCTACTCCGTTGGCCGAATCCGGCTGGCGATAAGGCAGTGGTGCTTAAGAGGTTTATACGTGTTCCGAACGGACATCTCAAGTGGCACACTTAAGTGTGTGAAGGCTTAATTAACACCGGCAAAAGCGACGACCCCGAAAATGAAAGGCAGTTCGGGAAGATGTATTACAGTTTAATTATCTCCTTATCAAAGTGAGTGTTGCCATGGAGTGTCGGCAATCTGCAAAGAGAATAAATATAAAATATAAACAATAATAATGGAATTGAGAGTGGTATTGTATCAGCTAATGAATTTAGCATGGGAGCATGTGTGCCTAACGAGCTGTGCAAGCATCTCAACTGATAAGTGGCGCAAAAATGGCCAGAATACGATAATAACAGGTGTAGAACAGGTGTACAACAATAGCGGTTAATTCAAAGCAACACGATATAGTAGTTCCTAACTTTTATTTCAATTTTAAATGATTTATTTATTTGTAATATATGATCTGCAAACCCGTGACACATTAAATACCATTGATAAGAAAATAAAATCAGTTATTACATTTAATCTCATCGATAGTGGAATAAAATGTATACCAAACCTATAATCTGGTTCCATCTATTCGGTGGAACTTCAATGTTTGTTTTGATTTGCTCGGTCCTCCTACTGAACGCTAGACCTCACCTATATAGCCGCCTTATCATCGGGGCAACCTGACACCAAATACCACATATATAGTAGCAATGTGCAGGAGCCATTCTAGCGTAAAGTGGATTATGGCGGAATAATTTATGATGGTATTATTTTCTTTAAACGCCAAGCTCCTGTGACCAACTTTAAAAACTCAAAGATTTATTACATTATTTTAATCTTTTGTCACTATTATGACGCCTATTTTGGCAAATTTATGGGCTTGCGAATTCGTATTGCTTGGACGATCGTCTCATTGGGATTTCAGAAGGGATGGGGGCCCTTAAAGCTCCAATAGCAAGTAAAAAGTGGATTTATCAGGCTGCGAACACAGATTTTTGCTTTTACTTATCAAGCGAAAAACATTTAAATAATTTTACATATTCATTTGGTTATTTTCCCTGCTTTTATTTCGCTCTATATTGATCTGCTAAAAACCAGATGATATTCATGACGAATTTAAATGGGTCTCAAATTATTTAATAGCTTTGTGATTTTTAAATTCGATTTCTTTCACCAATTAGGGCTATGAATTTGCTTCGAGAGCTTTTTTAATGCGGTAAGTGCTCGGAATTCCTGGGGAACACTTGTAAGAGGAAGTGATTCCAGCACACTTTTTTACTGAATTTCTAAACACACATTTCAATAATGCTCCACATAGCTGAAATACTTTAATAATGGCAAATCTGAGTCAGGCCATTACGGCACGGATTTCGCAAAGCACTTGAAAAATATATAAACATGAGTGCACATATTTGTTCTAGCAGATAAGAGGAAACCCTATACTCTTTATGGGGAAGACAAATCTTGTTAAAAGCGGAATGGGACAGCGACCCAGAATTGCCTGCTCGAGTTTTTGGAATACCTTTTGAATGGGGTTTTAAGCCAGGCCCTTAACTTAATCTTCAGAGAATTACCATTTATAAGTACACACACTTTAGATATATAATTGCATTGCGATCCCCTGTTGCTGTGGCCTAAAAATATATCACGGAAAATATTATTAAAAGTCCGTGCACAAAAAACTCAAAGCTTGCCAAAAATATACTAAAATGATTTTTGCAAACACAACAAAGGCCGAAGTAATCCGCCAAACAACAGAATTTGTTGTAGAGCATTTTGTACCATATAATTATATTTCGTTGGTCACCTCATATCACCGAAATATTCCGCATTTTGGGGGATCTACAGACAAACGAGTATATCTGTTGTTGGGGCCTGTAAAAGTTTTTTGTGGCAATATTTGCATACAGTTATATATCTTGGCTGTAGTAACACGGGCTTATGTACTCGTTATAAAATCAATTAAAAAAGCGACGCAAAGATGCAAAACAAAAACGTCACGACTGAGAATCAGTATCAGAATAATGAGAAATGAGAACACAGAGACCGCCGCTTTTCGCTTTTCGCCTTTCGCGCTCCACCTGCTCACACCTGTGGCGCGTGTTTGGCTGCCTTAGTTATTGTTGTTACGATCGAGGTGGTTTCAATACCCAAGTGGAAGAACCTGGGATTGATTGCAGTCACTCACTTTGGTTCGGATCTTTGGGATCTGATGTCTACCAACCAGTCTACTCGAATCGAACCGAATCGCGTATCACAGTATCGCAGACGAAACAATTAGCATGGTATCGCCGGAATCGGAATAATATATTGTATTGTATATTGGAGAATTATTATTGGAGAGCTGCTACCGATGTCAACGCGACCGCTTCGCGCTCTGGCATTGACTGGCGTCGCCGTCGTCGTCGTCGTCGGTCGCCACTGCTCATTCTCGCTGAATCTGAATAGGTGGTGTTGGTTTGGAGCCACTACTGCTGCTTATCACCCGCAGTCGCGGTCTCGGCCAAGATTAATGACGTCTATATAGTTACAGTATTTCCATATTCGCTCGCTCTCCCACCGATCAGCTGACTAATATTGTGAATATACTGGGTAGTAGTACCCTGTTTAGATTATCCCCCAAAGCGATTTCCTTAATTTGCTTGAAAAATTAGCCTTTCGTTCGGCACGCTAACCCTACAAAAAAAAAAATACAAAAAAGAGAGTGGAAACGGGAGCTCCTCGTTGCGATTCCGATTCGAAGCGCTTATCTAAAACTAGCTCTTTATGGGCCGAAATAAAAATCTGAGTGACTGAGACCTCTAGATTTGACTTTCGGCGCGTTTATGAATGGGATTTGTGGAGTGTTATAAAAAGTCTTTAAGATGGGGGTACTCCTTAAACTTTGTCCACCCCCAAATAAATTACGATTAAATATCTCTTGAAAATATAATAAACCTCTGGATTTTTTGCAAACAAAAATAAAAGAACGTGTGGCAGAAAGTCCTTGGCATATTTTGAAAGTTTCTAGAATATGAGACACTTTTCTGGTAATTCCGTGTCATTAAATGGATTTTCCTACCAATCTGCATATTAACCCACTTAAAGATGTCTAGCCATTTCTATGAAACCGCAGATCAGGGGAATTTTTTCGTATTTACAAAAAATTAAACTCGTCTGACTTGTTCTTGTTATTCCCTGTAATCCGAAAATTCTACTTCCATTAAGCCGGCATCTGTTCGCTTGTTGCGTAAAATTAAAATCTGCCTCGCAATAAACAAATCACCGAGCGTGGTTGATCCATTAGCACCTTGTATATATTTGTGGAAGCGACTATAGAAGGGTGAAAATTATGACGGGAATGTATGAAAATACACAGGTACATTTCAAATAGAAATTTATGAATAGAAGCGATAAAATACAATACAATAAGTCAATAATATTTGCCAGTGCTCTCAGATTTCTATTTAATAAGCTGGTCGAAAAACAATTATTAAACCTGGCAAAAAAGCGAACCCTTTTTGCTCGAAGAGTTACCCAATTATGGCTGGAATTGTTTTATTTGTATGACGAATTGACAGTTTCTTTTTTTTTACCGACACGCGCATCAAGGCCTATCAAATAGATACAAGTGATTAGCATGATATCATTCCTGTATCTTAAATGGAAAAAGGCCATAATTAAGTAAATATTTATCGCAAAAAAGAAAAGCTGTGTCACAGCGCCTGTCAAAAAAACTGAAGTAACTTTGAAGCCGCCGTCCGCCGAAAACGCCTTTCGAGTATAAGTATATTTAAATTCCGTTTTCCTTTATTTTACGAGATCTCATAACTCGCCGCAAGTCAAATTCCTCTCAGTACCACGTAATATACCTTATCTATTTTCAGCATTCATTTTATTGGTACAATTATGAGAAATGATCATTGGATCAAAATAGACATACAAATTTATTGACAGGTCGCTTATCTATCGCAAAAGAGAGATACGGAACTGTCAGCTGTGTCTTAAGAAAACTGAAAACGGTTTGTGGTACGCAAATTACGTATACGTAAGTAAGATATCTTTAAAAACTTAAATGGAAGACCCAATGACGAAAAAATACCACGAAAATGCTGGTGATATTAATTTTAAGAGGGGGTGAATATTTGAAAAATCCTATCTTATTTTGATATTAATTTTAAGATATGATAAATATTTGAAAAATCCTTGCTAATTTTGAAATTAATTTTAAGAGGGGATAAATATTTGAAAAATCCATGCTTATGAACTTTTTATTTAAGACATTAAGACATTGACCAACAAAATAAATTACCAATTACTAGATAAATAATGTATTACATCAATTTTATTTCCACATTCTCTATTGATGCGGAACAACATGTTCAATCGTTACACCAGATCATTTGTTGCGCTATTGCTAGAAAAGTAAATATGCATGTTTATGCAATTCGTAACTTACTCTTTTATTTACATTGTCAATTGATGTGTGCTGAAATGGCATAATCAAATGTTTTTAAGCAGCTGTGCACTTAGAGGAGAATCCACACATGTTCCTCTTCCGCATCCAAACTAAGATTCCATTTAAAATATATCAAGTCAACACACAGGCGGCATTTCGTTTTCATGTAAAAACAAAAGTTTATTTTAGAAAAACCTAAATTATTAATTGAAACTTAAGTGGTATGATTGAAATTTCTAGAGAATAAAGTACTTAAATAAAAGTGTGCTCTTTATTCTGGATGTTACATTGGATTACAATCAGAAAATTGGTTTCTACGTCTGACCAAATCGTCTCTGTCAGCAATCTGTTCGATAGTTAAGTGGTTTACGTGGTTGTAAGGGTGCCTTAGCGGTTTATAGTTCCAGCTTCATCATAATATTATGAAATACTTGCGTCTACATTAATTTCAATGTAATCAAACTATGGAAGATGATTTAGATGCGTCGCGAAAAGTTGCCGCCACCGTTGCCGCCGCCATTGTTTCCCATTCCGCCGCCACCTCCGCCGTTACCACCGCCTCCGTTGCCGCCGCCGTTGTTTCCATTGGGTCCGCCTCGGGTCTTTCCGTCGTAGAACAGCTCAATGTAGCGCGAGCCCATTTGCTCTCTGTGGCGCTTCATGGCCACCTGGGAGTCCTCGTAGGTGTCGAAGTAGGCATCAGCAGTTCCGCTGTGCAGACCCTTCTTGTTGTAGTTGATGCGCACATTGGCGGGTCGAATGGGCTCGAAGAACTGAAATCATATAATTTGTGATAATTATAAGTATACTGCAAGTATTAAGGTTATCCAAAGCCCACCTTAAAGACATCATTTTCAAAGGAAGTGTACGGCAATCCTCGCATATGGATGGTATAATGCTCGGCATCGTTGCCACGGCCGCCGCCAATGGGCCCAAAATTGCCACCACCTCCAACGGAGTTGTTGCCGCCAAAGTTACCGCCATTGTTAAATCCGCCGCCACCGCCGTTGTTGCCTCCTCCAAAGTTTGAGCCGCCTCCGTTTCCATTATTGTTGTTTCCTCCAAAATTACCGAATCCAGAGTTTCCAAAGTTGCCGCTGTTGTTGTTGTTGCGACCACCGCCGATCGGTCCAAAGTTGCCGCCGCCCGACGATGAGCCAAAGTTGCCGCCGTTGTTGAAGCCGCCACCGCTGTTGCCGCCAAAATTGGAGCCGCCATTGTTGCCGAAATTATTGCCGCCTCCAGGAGAATTGAAGTTGTTGCCACTGTTGAAACCACCGCCGCCTCCATTGTTGCCGAAGTTTCCGCCTCCGTTGTTGCCAAAGTTTCCAAAGTTGCCGCCGTTACCACCATCGTTGTTGCCAAAGTTGCCGGAGTTTCCACCGCCGCCGCCATTGTTTCCGCCACCAAAGTTGCCGAAATTGCTGGGTCCAGAGTTATTTCCGAAATTTCCACTATTTCCGCCTTGGTTGTTGCCAAAGTTGCCGGAATTCATGAGGCTGGGGAGATTATTGAAGCCCAGCATGTTGTTGGCGCCAACACCGAAGTTGCCATTGTTGCCCCAGTCTTTAAAAAATAAATCATTTTAATTTAATAGTATCTAATATATCATATGGTTAACCTACCGTTGCGTCCTCCGCCAAAGTCGTTGCCACCGCGATTGGCTCCGCGATCACGAATATCATAAGGGCCCGGGCGTCCTCCGACACCTCCGCCGGCGCCTGTGGCCCTCTTCATTTCAGCAATTGAGCTGCGGAATATCTCAATATACCTACAGGGATAAGATCAGAAAATAGTTGAATTTAGCAAATTGTTATTGAAAAATGCTAGGGTCGGTGGCGTTTTCTTTTGATGTTTAACTGTTACAAAAGTAAAAAATAAATCCAAATAAAAGAAAAAATAAATCAATTACAAAAACTATTAAAAATAACTCTGTGTTCACTGTGTTTTAATTATTTTGTTAGATTGAGCACATGCTGGCGCTTAAACAAATATTAAGAGCCCCACCAGACCCGTAGCTACAGGTAATTGTTGCTAAATGGTTGTTTCTCAGTGACTGAAATAGAATTAAATTTATGATAAGAGTAATTTTAGATTTATATTTGTGAATAATCTATGGAAAATTGGTGTTGTATTTTCACTTGTGTGTTTCAACAAGTTCGCAATTGATTACCACTTAATGTTTTAATTTCAGCTGTTTTTTGTTTTTTTTTTGGTTGTAGAAGATATGATGAATTAGAAACCCACCTGTGCCCAATTTTTTCCCGATTTCGGCCCAAGGCTTGCTCAGTGTCGTCCTGGCTTTCGAACTGAACAAAAGCTTCCCCAGTTGCACGACCCCTTCTGTCCATAACAAAAAGTATGCCCTCCCGATCCGTTTTGATTTCCAACCCTGCCCATGACGATAACCAACAAAGATTTATACAAATATATAGATTTCATATATATATACATTATGCAAGGTTAAAGCTTAGATAGAGAAACAGAAATACAGAGGTTGATAAATGTTAAATTGTTTAGTTCTCGCATCGTAGAACTATTAAGGCTTTGCTTAAATAAAAATGGGTCTTGCAGTCGAAACACGAACTGCAAACGAGATGGCGAGTGTTGCAATCGAGATGCCCGGACCACAAAACTCGGCTCCTGTAACTCGAAGCTCAGTTAAAAGGGGGAAGAGGAGTAAATAATGATCGTTGAGTTGACCAAGTAAACTGGGTTATGTGACCAATGAAACAATGACATATCGGACAAGCGGACGTGACCGCGTCCACTTGAAAGGAGCTGCGTGGACCGCCGAACCCGTTACACAAAATGCAAGGGCCTGCAATTCGTTGCCCGAAAATATATAAATGTTTTGTTGAAGCGCATGTGTACTTGATATGAAGAGTGTAGATGAAGGGGGACCGTAGTGGGCCATATCTCAACGAAGTGCAAAAATAAATACATGCGGTCAACCACTGTCTTTGCTCCATGTTCCTATTGAAGTGAAAGGAGGGAGAGAGCAGGGGCACTCACCAGAGAAGAACTCCTCGATTTGCTGCTCGGTGACGGCATAAGGCAGACCACGGAGCTTCACAACGAAGGCAGTGCCGTGACCGCTGATCTTCCGCATGGCTTCCTTGGCCTCCTTCGGTGTGGCGGTGAAAACTAAAGTGGGGGGAAATATATGTTAGTTTTGTTCTTATTAAGGGTGTTTGTTTATCAGGTAAGTTGAAGCTTAAATATTGCAGATCAATTTTTTTAAAAAAAATTAAATGGGGTATATTCCTAAGTACAGGGAAATGACAAATTATTTTTCTACACTGATAGCCCTTACCAATACCTAATTATTTTTATTATTTTTAGCAGCTGATTAGAAATAAAGATAACAGTAGAATAGATGTGCAAAACAATCTCAAAATCAATGAGTAAGTCATAAAGAAAAAAACCTAAATACAAGTCAGTAATAATTCTTAAAAATTCCTCTTTCAAACTTTCTAATATCGATATAAAAAGACAAAATTATGCAGTTTTGAATAAATATTGCAACAAAAATTAAACGCGACATAGGGTTAAGAAGGTTAATAAACCCAAACACAAAGATGGGTACATTTTTCTCCTAAACCATGGGTATTAAAGAAATAACTTATGAAAAAGGACAGATTATGCTTGATGGACGCCTATAATTGGCAGCACTGCTGTCTTGGCTATGCAATTTTGAATAAATAATACAAAAAAATTAAACGTGATATAAGCCTATCACTATATAAAAGGTTAATGAACTCAGACACAAAGGTGGGTACATTTTTCTCCTAAATCTCAATCTGAACCATGGGTATTAAAGAATTAACTTATGAAAAAGTAAAGGTCATGCTAGATGGCAGCACTGCTGTCTTGGCCAAAACTTAGCGGTACAGTCAACCCCCTTGGGCGAGTGGCAAGCAAACCAACCCTCAATGTAGCGGTGGCCCATGCTGGCCTTGTTCAGCTTGCGCGCCTCCTCGACGTCCTCCTGGCTGGCCACCTCCACGTAGGCCTCGCCGGTGTTCTTGCCGTCGACGCGACTGGTGACCAGGTGGATGCCCGACGAGCCATTGGTCACGTTCACGTTCTCCAGGAAGTCGAGGATCTCCTTGTGGGTGGCGGACCAAGGGAGACCGCGCAGCCGGACAAACTTGGGGCTCTCGCCCACGTTCTCGATCTTGCCGCCGTCATCGCCGTCGAACTGGTCGTCGTCATCCTGCTGCTGGCTGCTGTCGTCGTTGAAGTTCTCGCCATTTCCCTGCTGGCCGTAGTTGAACTGCACGTCTGCGTTTGCCATTTTGTCTTCGCTAGCTTCGCTCTTTGTCTGCAATTGGTTACAAACCGGATGTATCAGAGAGATATCGGAAGTGATTGTGTGGAGAGGGGAGTATATTCGATCGGTTGACTAGAGCGAGCACTTTGAAAATGCGCTTTTTCGTTCAGCCGGTGATTTTTCTCAACTGCGAGACGCTTGCTGCCGCTGCCTTTTTTGCACCGCGTACGCCATTTTGATTTCTAGTCACCCCCGAATCGCGCATGGCATTTTGCACGGCTCGTATGTAATATATGCGCTGGCAATTGCCACGCCTCCGGGCGGTTCGTTGTATTTACCTTTTTCTGCACTGCTGCCACTTGCTATTTCGTCTGTTTGCTTTATTTAAATCGGCTTTTAACACGATTCTTTTTGGAGAGAATCTATCTTTTCCTTCCTTCGGAGAGCACGCGTTAGAGGTGGGTTAACAGCTCGAGATAGTATCGATATATGGTTGGGATTTGTTAGTGACTATCGGGGTTTTAGTTTCGATAGTAAGCGGAGAGCGTTGACCTTGTCATTAAATTAAAAAATGCATTTAAAAAATTGCTAAAGGTGTTTTAATTTTTAAAACTTTTCATTGACTTAACTTACTGGGGATTAGCTGTTTTTAAAAATATTGAGATGGCCTTACTGTTATCGATAGTGGTTAGTGTCTTGGCTAGATCAGTGCTGTAAGTGTCATACGAAAGTAACCCATCCCTGGTTCTTAGCCAGTGCTGCCAGACCCCACTCACATCTGTCATACCCGTGTGAAAAGTAGCAAGAACAAGAAAAGTGAGTCCGAGCTGTTACTTAACCAAAATTTGTGCAATTAAATAGCTTTTATTCGCCAGCATGTTGAGCATCACGGCCCGTAACCTGGCAAGCGCCCTCCGCAGCAGCCTCGTCGGCACCTCGTCGCGCGTGGCCGCCGTGCGCAGCCTGCACGGCACCGAGGAATCGGCGGAGGAGTTCGACAAGCGCTACGAGAAGTACTTCAGCCGCGAGGGCATCGACGGCTGGGAGATCCGCAAGGGAATGAACGATCTGCTGGGCATGGATCTGGTGCCCAGCCCCAAGATCATCGAGGCGGGACTACGGGCCACCCGTCGCGTCAACGACATCGCCTTGGCCATCAGGTGGCTGGAGGGATGCAAGGACAAGTGCGGCGACCAGAAGGCCACCCTCTATCCCTATTTGCTGGAGAAGATCACCCCCACGCTGCAGGAGCTGGGCATCCCCACCATCGAGGAGCTGGGCTACGACAAGCCCGAGTTGGCCCTGAAGTCCGTGTACGATGCCTAAAGGAGGAGGAGTAGTTTAAACCCAAAACACAACCAGAAAACATAAAATACACATCCCAAAAATGTATGTGGTGCGGATGAACATGTTGTTGGATTGATAATAAATGGAGATTGGAGTAAGGCTACCACACCAGCACTCGGTTGTTTTCCCTATTGCGAATCGATTACGTAATGCTAAAGGTTAGGGAAATGCATTTCGTTTATTTGGCGACTATTTCCACTTGGACAGCAGCTCGGCCGCCTTGTCCAGATTCTCCTGCTTCTTGATGAAGCAATACCGCACAAAGTCCTCGCCCAGCGGCTTGTTGGGTTCGCTGTAGAAGGCGCTCGGTGGGATGCCCTGCAGGCCCATGTTCTTGGTCATCCACTTGGTGAACTTGTAGTCGCGGTATTTGTCGGGTTCGGAATTCAGATCCACTTTGCTCGTAAGTGGCGACCAGTCGGCCAGCATGAAGTAGCCGCCCTCGGGAATGGTTGGTCGCATCCCCGCCTCCGTGAGAAACTTGGCCATGAAGTCGCGCTTCTCCCGCAGCTCCCTCGGCAAACTGAGGAAGTAGCTCTCCGGCTGGCCCAGGCGTTCCAGTTCCAACTCAAAGCTGCGCGCCACGCCCTCTTGCAGGGGCGTGGGGCAGGTGTACACGGAGTTCTGGTGCACCATTTGCAGGTTGCGGATGAGCTGGGCGGGTCCATAGGCCCATCCGATCTTCCAACCGGTCACTGAGAAGGTTTTGCCCGCCGAACCCAAGGTGATGGTGCGATCCCACATGCCGGGAAGCGTGCAGATGCGGATGTGCTCGGCCCCATCGAAGACGAGCCATTCGTAAACCTCATCGGAGACGCAAAGAACATTCCATTTGCGGCACAACTCGGCTATGCGCTCCAGTTCCTGCCGATTGAAGACCTTGCCAATGGGATTGTGTGGTGTGTTCAGTATAATCATCTTGGTTTTCGAGTTGAACAGGCTCTCGAATTCAGCATCATCCAGCACCCAGTCCGCCGAGCTAATGGGACCCTCTGTTTTGCGCTGAAAAGGATGTTAATTAGAGGATCTAATTGTATTTAATATGTAGGTTTACCTACCAACTTCAGGGGAATGAAGCGCGGCACTCCGCCGGCCATCTTGACCATGGGTTCGTAGCAATCGAAGAAGGGTTCAATGATGATCACCTCATCGCCCACGTCCACATGGCCCATGATGGTGGAGTATAGAGCCTCGTAGGCACCGGAAGTAATCAGAATGTCGCTGAGGGGATTCAGCTGCTTGCCAACGAGATTGCTATACAACTTGGACAAGGCGTTGACCAGGCGAACGTGGCCATAGCCGCGGGTGTACTGATGCAGCAGGGGATTCTCGTCCTTGGCGATGTCCGCCAGCGAGTGGGTCACGTACTCGGGAGCAGCATCGTCGGGGAATCCCTGGCCCAGATTCAGGGGTTTGTACTGCATGGCCAAAGCGATGTACTCGTTCCAAACGCTGGGCGTGCTGCCCTGCAATCTCTGGGGAAGATCGAACTTATCCATGTTGCTGCTACTGGCGGAGGCGGATTGCTGGTGACGGAGGAACTGAAACTGATCCCTCAAGCTTCTCTGGGCGGCGGCAAGGGTTAAGCGGCAGCTGCGAAGCATCTGTAAGAAGGTGACTTTAGTGACTGACTGGAATAGTTTCCCCTTATCACCGCGTGTTTAGATTGTTTATGGCGCGATAAGAACGCACTTTGCCTGTCTGTCTGCTGAGTGATCTTAAATGTAATAATAACAATAAAATATAACTGTTTAAATGCAATTGTTGCGGTTTAATGCTGGAGAACTGCACTCAAACGCGGTGACGTTGCATAATGGCACTGAATTCTGATTAGACTAGCGGAATATCTATATGCGATACGATTTTGTTTAAGGCGCTCACGCACACTTGCACACGGAAATATGCAAATAAACAAATACGTGGAAAGTGTAAAACAAAAACCTTAATGGAACGGAAATTCACCCAGAAACAGCTGGTATAATTAATAACAATGCCAGCTGTTCGTTGGATTTGCAGAATTTCCAATTAGAAATTGATTGACAACTTTATGAGCTAAAATTCCACAATTTATAGTCTTGACCTTGACCATTAAACACTTTAATATGTATTTAGGAAGATATGCTACATTAGGGCTATCTTAAATATTTACTGCAACTTCCAAAACACCTTTGATTTTAGCAATAAAACCGCAACTTACAAAATAAACAATAACAGGTTTGTTGTTATGTTATCGATTGTTGCAACGTTTAAAAAGTCTTAATTTATCGATATCGGTACGGAAACAGGGCGATTCTTGCGGCTGAAAAATTTACAGGGTGACTCGGGCGGCGTTATCGATAACTAAAACCAGGGGTGCCGCTCGAAGTCATCGTTATATCGCGCCAAACTATCGAAATTCAAATTCAAAATATATAACTGAAAATTAAATGTCTCCAACGTTTATTTCCAAAAACACCGATTCCATAAATTAAAAAAACATCTTCTTTCATTTTTCAAAAGTTTATTTATAAAAAATGCTTGTTAATGGTAGTTAATCAAGGATGAAATCATCGTACAGCTAGTATAATTGACAAATTAATTGATTAATAACATATTAAGCTTCGAAACATTTTACATTTCATCAAGTGTAGAATTATCTGTTAAGCTATAAAAAGAATTAAAGTGTGTTTTTTTGACCAATTTCGATTTCAAATGTTCGTTCTGCAGAGTTTTAACAAAGTAAAGCTACTAAACTTAAATCACAGATAACACTAAAGTGTTTGTTACGATATATGCATGTATATATATGTGTCTGTTTCTATATATATATATATGTATGTCACTATATATGTGTGTGGTCAAATCGGTTGTTACAGGCCCGCTTTGCCTTCTCCTCTCTCGTACGATTCCATTCCGTTCGTGTGGAAATCATAGAAAGCATAACTGACTTAAGGTTAAGTTAGAAAACCGCTAAAACTAACGAAATTGTGTGTTGTCTGTGTTGCAGCAAATTTTGTGGCCACATTCCATCCGCTGTTAAATGCAACAATTGGCTTAAGTGCTACGAAACAAGAGGCAGGAGTCCTTTAAAATGAACCAATTGTTTCCACATCCTTATACTCATCATTTCCTTCCGCTGTGAATGGCACACGTTTTGCGTAACGCGAATGGCAAAAACGAAACTATGGATATGAAAGCCCGGTTTCGAATTTGAAATTTTAGAAATTAAATTATTTAGAACTCCAGGGGTTTGAAAAATTGCATCAATTTGAATGATAGAAACCGGGCTTTTAATTCCTCCCCCTCCAAATATTTTTGTGTTGATCCTGTGGGTGAACTAAACCTCCTAGACATGCACCTCCGGGCAGTCCTCGTCCTTGATCGATGTGTACTGCACCTTCTTGGCCACGTTGTCGAAAACCGGCGTAATCATGTACTTCAACTTGTCCCGGCTGACATAGACGAGTGCCACCAGGAGGCCGAGCAGGATCATGCTGAGCACGATGAGCAGGAAGATCAGAGTGGCCGTGTGTCCACTGATGTGGGCCTGCTGCTGGATGGATGCCTCTGGGCCCCCGTAGCGCTGCTCCTCCTCGGCGGTGTTCAGGATGGTGGCCGCTGCGGCAATGGCATCGGCACACTGACCCATGTCCATCTGGAGGAGATGGGCGGGCGAGGGATCGACGTGACCCTGCGAATGGAAGCACATCAGGCTGTCCTTGTTGCGCACCGTCACCCGGGTGCTGGGTATCCACGTGCGAAAGGGAGCGATGCGGCAGTCGCACTCAAAGGGATTCAGGTTAAAATCCACAATCAGGTTGGCCGTGCGATTGGGACGCTCCTCCAGTTCGTTGAGCGTCCGCAGATCGGTGGGCTTCACGAAGGTGAACTTGTTGCGCTCCAGGTCGAGGAAGCGCAGGTTGTTCAGGCAGCGCACCTCGAAGTTGAGGTCACGCAGCTGGTTGTCGCCCAGGTGGAGGTCACGCAGCGAGGGCAGATCGCAGAAGACATTGCGATCCTTGAAGTGCGTGATCTCGTTCTGCTCCAGATGCAGTTTCTGCAGCTTCACCAGCTGGCTGTTCACGAAGATGTCGTGCAGATCCTCGCTCAGCTGCGGCGAACTGTTGTCCTCGAAGGCGTCGGTGAGATGCAGACTCTGCAGGTTGATAAAGTTGGAGAACACCCGCGGATGATGGTGATTGACCTCGTCATCGTAGCGAGAGATACTCAAGTTGTTGTGGTTCAGGATCAGGCGCTCCACCCGCGGCACATGGTGATAGCTCTTGCCGCGAATCTCGCGGATGTGATTGTTGCTCATGTCCACAATCCGCAGCTGTTTGTAGTCGTTGATGCTGCCAAAGACGTTCCACGGCAGCTCGGCTATGCGGTTGCCCGTGAAGATCAGCACCTCCACCTGGTCGGGCATGAACTCCAGCACACTGGTGTTCACCAGTCCCGCATTTGTGCAGTTCACCACATACTGCATCTCGCTCTCGTACATCTCCTTGCCGCAGCTGCACGCCGCCGGGAAGTTGGGTCCGCAGCTGGACGAAGTCTCGCCCAGAACTCCGCCGGCGCCGATCGCCAGGCCAAAGGTCGCGATCAGCACGACCAGGATTAGTCTCCTCAGTTCGGTGGGTGGCATGTTTCCGATGCTCGAAGGCTGTAAGTAAAGCAAATGGAAGAAAATTGTTATAAAAAGGGGATACAAAATTTATTAAATGGAAAATGAATAGTTTATTGTCCCAACCAACCTAAAATAATACACTCCAAAAAATTAAGAACAAAACATAAAATGATATAATGATAAAATCATCAAAATTAATTTTCTCACTTTTTCAAGAAGAAATAATCTCAAAATCAAGACCAAAGTTCTCTGAAGTTTGATTTTTGAGATGAATGTATTTAGCTACACTACAAAATACATTTTTATAATTATTTAAAACCTGTTTCTATCTTTTTGTGTGGAATAGCAAAATGGTTTATTGGCTGCTAATGCATTTTAAAGTGATAGTGGTGCTGCACAAGCCTCAGAAAGCCACGAAATTGCCTGACTAGCCGAACGGACAGCTTCTTTATGCTCCACAAGTTGCAGATTTATGTGCTTATGAAAAGCGGAGCATCGTTTACGGCACACCTCAGCGGAGGAGGGGATTTCTCCACCACAACCTCCCCTGCTTTCTGCGCCCATCTCAATCGTCGGCCCACGCGGCGTATGGGTAATTTCTGTTTAGTGGCAAACTTTTCGGCGTCGGGAGCAGAACAACAAACGCCTGAAGGGCCCTCCGGCAACCGCAACAGGAGCAGAAGTCGGAGGAGCAGCCGTAAATCTGATTATTTTTCGGCTTTTATTGCTATTTGTTTAGTGTGTGTGTGTTTATGAGTCACTGTATGTAAGATATTCGTAAGGTGGTGAGTACAATATTTAAGCAACCAAATTTTCATTTTACCAATATGTACGCTTTTACTAACCCACAGTAAAAAATATAATTGATGCTTAAAACGAAATAGGTCTATCAGAAGCAGAGACATCATTAAATGTTTTACTCTCCAGATACTCAAATAGGTCCATCAGAAACAGACAAATCATTAATGGTTCTACTCTTATAAAGCCTATAAATTAAACAGACTGAAAACCACATCAATGGTCAAAAGTGAAGAGAATTTATGGGAAAACAATAAAGTTGATGAAATCAATCACTGTAACAATGTGCATAGAATGCATTTTGTAAAACCAATAATAAAATAAAACTTTTCAAAAAATTTAACTTTGTTTAAATTGGAGCAAATTGTTAGGAAAAGCTGATGGTTTGTTAGACCGAAAGGATCTAAAAGCTGGCCCATTTCAAATGAAACAGAATCGCCAAAATGGAGCCCCTATCCTATCGTCAATGGGATGGCGGCGCCCATTAATTTCCCTGTTAAGAGGGTGCTGCCTCAATTGGTTGTAGCTATTGCTATTGAAGCGCCTGGCCAAGGGTCACTCGATGCTAATGAGCGCATCAAATTCCTGCCAGGGAAAATTGAAAACTAACGGCGTTTTAATGGGCCCAGCAGGTTGGCCCTTCTGGAGGCCACTCAATTATCTCGACTGGCAATTATGTTGCCCGTTTTCCCAGTTTCCGACAGCAAATTTATGACGGTTAGCGCAGCGTTAGCGTATGCAAATTGAATTTTACAAATTTGCAAATATTTATCCACCACAAATCGGAAATATTTGGCAATTAGTGCGAGATAAGTGGATTTTGCTAAGAATTTGGTTAATGTTTCGATTTTCTCCGTGCATTTCTCGCATTTTCACCCACAAACGTTTGTTTCTCTTTTGGCCAAGGTAAAAAATGGGATAACAAAAGGGCCCAAACAAAGAAGAAAAGCTGCACTGCACTTGAATCTTCCGTTGAAAAGTAAACGCTGTGTTTGTTGATTGTGTATGTGAGTCACTTCCGGTTTGTCGGACTAACAAGCAGCCACAGTTTTTTCAACCCCCACCCCTTTTCCCCTGCCGTTTTACTTTAATTTCAACTTTTATGTCTTTGTTGTTGTTTGCTTTGTGTGTTTACTGTTGCAATAACACACACCTACCTGTGCCACCCCCCACCCCCTTTTCCCTTTTTAGCCCCCAGGGCCATTCCACTGCAATAATAAGGCAAACAAACAGCATTTGTTCCTTCTTTACTGCACTCGGTTCGCTTCTCGCTGGAATTTATGCATGCGCCTAAAATAATAATAATACAGAAAAGAAACAGCAGCAGCAGAAACAGAAACAGCAACAGAAACAACAAAGGCAAACAACTACAATAACAGCGGCATAATATGTATGTAACAAGCGCAAGCAAAATAATAATGGCGAGCATTTTTTGTTGTGTGTGTGTCTTTATACTCTTGCGAAAGGTATAATTCACTTAAATGGAACTGTTTAAAGGGACATCATTATTATTTTCTTAGCCAGGCAATTCAAGATACAAATTTATAAGCTATTCTATGTGAGCTGTTAGAAAATTTACAACAGGTGTTCGAAATAAACAGAAATTTTTCAAAAAACATGATAATTAGATAATATTCTTAAAAAATCCTTGGTAAAATATGAATTTTTGTTAAAGTATTCAAATATATATTTCCCTATTTTCCTATATGTATATACGCTTAAATTTCATTTCTTTGTAGTATGTTTTTTAAAATTCTGTAATGGACACTCCTTAAAAATTTAAGACAATCTGCAAAGGTATTTAAAGCTTCGGTTTCCGCATCCAACATCCACCTTTCTTGTTTGTTAATATTTTTGTGACTTTTTTTTTACGTGCTTTGCCTTTGCATGACTCCCGCTCTAATTCTCCTCTGTCCCTCTCTCGTCTTTTAATTCGTTAGTGGTGAAGTGCCAGGCACTTGGCAGTTGCAATACAAAGAAGGAGGAGGTTGAGGAGGAGGAGGAGCACGTGGAGCTGGAGGAGCTGTACCAGGTGGAATATGGCGAATATGGGAGTGGAATTAAAGGTGGTCCCTCAATTTGTAATGCACGATGAGAGCGAGCTTTGGACTTCAGTGTGTGCGTGCATGTGTGGCTGACTTTGTGTGTTTGCGTGGTGGTGGTTGTATGGTCTAATTAGAGCATAACGGTATACGGTTCTCCATGGCATATGATGAGATATGACGGGGTGGTGTCAGAACATCCCCGAGGAAAGTCACAACTACCGCTAAATTCAGCTTATGCCAACTAATGACAGCCAATTTGGTTCACTTTCGAATATTCCCGCCATTTTGCGCTACAACCATCATTTAAAATTTGCCAAAAACAAATTGGAACATTTTCACATTCCACTTTTGTTTGCCTTTGATGTCGAATTTCGCTTGCTGTCAGTCTCGTTCAAATTTAATAAACTTTTTTAAAATAGTATTACAACTTTGTACAGATAAAAAAATAAAATTAAAATACTTAGTAAAAAGGGGAGTATTTAAGGTTTTCTTAAAGTACCGTTATCCTATGCAAATATAATCTTTGATTAGAAAAATTTACCCTTCATTTAGACGATAATTCAGCAGTTCAACCTTCTAGGTAATCCCTAACTAATGTTCAACAAGCCAAGTCACTCCAGGTCTTACCTCAAATATTCCAACGTTTTGCTTAAGCTTTTCTCATTAAATAATCCCCCCCACCCCCAACGTTGAATTCAGGATGCCTTTAAAATTGTTGAGCAGATGTCTCCATTATCGCAGCTCTCCTCAATCGGATGCTGTGGCCAAGGCTCTTACCGTTTTTCGCACTGAAAGGCGATGCCACGCCCCCCACTCTTCAGAGGGGGCTGGTTTAAGGGGGTGTCCTTGGGAGTTTCGCCAGTCAAATTTCATTGTTGGCACAACTCGCTGCATACTTTCGGGCAACACTTGCGAATGAAAAGCTCTTCAGAGTGAATTTCGCAGCTGCAACTCGCATCCAACTGGGTAAATGGCTAAAATGGAGATGGAGGAGAAACTGTTGGAGGAGCAGGAAAAGCTGGAGGTGGCGGTGAAGTGCTGCTCGCCTCGCTGTGCCAACTGCATTACGGAAATCCTAATGCGGCCAACAAGCGTTTAATGTCCTGCCTGGCAGTCATTAAGCGGGAGTGAGAAATGTTGAAATGTTTAAAAGCTTTTCGCCAACTCCTCTAGCTGCAGGTCTTCCACTGCCCGCAGCCAAAAATGGCTAAAATGGCCAACTAACTGTTCTTCTGGCTGGCAATAAATTTCAGCGGGTTGCCTGGAGTTTTTAAGTAGGCAACCGGGGGCTTCCAGCGAGAGAAAACACTAATCTAACATCAAGTATATCGAGCCGTAGCTGCAAATAAACTTCAATGAGCAGGGCAAAATTATTCGAAGAGCTTCTTTGCTACATTTTCCTTGGTGAAATATCGGCTTTCCAACTTTATAGCCATAAATCGTTTGACAAAAGTTGGAGTTTTTGGGTATGAGAAAGCAAAAATCACTTGTGCTAAGTGAGATTATAAAGTAAATTTATGTTATAAGATATGAGTTAAATATAATTATTTATTAAAACTAAGGATATCAACATTAGAAAAACATTATTATTTTTTTATCAACAAAATTTAAATTTGTTTAATATTTATCTAGTATAATTAATCTGAAAAATGTGTAAATCTGTGATGAATTCTATCTTCTGGTTTTTTTTGAAATTATTAAATTATTTTTCTATAAACTTTTTTATAAATATATTAACCTTAATCAAAGTTATCATGTTTTACTCAATAAAATATTCACTAGTTTGATATTAATATGTTAAGGGTACAAATCGGTTCTGATTTCTGACCTCCAGACAGCTTGGACAGCTTTTTCCCCAGTGTGGAGCTGAGTTACGGCTCAAACTGTTTTTCCATCTTGCCGGCTTTGTTCTGGCTTGTTTATGCCCTCATTGACTGCCCGCGGAGGCGAGACGCGAGTAAGTAGGCAACACTTGTCGTGGCTGCTCCTCCCCCTCTTACAACCATCCCCTATGTACGTAGCTACCCTCCCCTCTTTGGACCATGTTCATTGTCAACCTGCTGATGCTGGCTGCTCAGATGCTGGTGCTGCTGGCTTTCGAGGACCGCGTTCCCTTCCTCCATGCCAATGCAATTAAACGCGACTGCAGTCCCGGCATGGTTTACTATCCTGTCCCGTCCTGGCTGCCT